ATATATATATATATATATATATATATATATATATATATATATGTGTGTGTGTGTGTGTGTGTGTGTGTGTGTGTGTGTAATACCGTGCAAAATGGTTACATACTATTATTGCAAATTTATAATAATTGTCAGCAAAAGTTAATTAGTATGCAAATGTTTAATTGGTATGCAAAAGTTTAATTGGCATGTAAAATTTTAATTTGCGCGCAAAAGTTTTCGGACATCGGATCAATTAACTTTTCACTTTTAAGATCTGCTTCAATAAAATATTTCCTTTCTTTTTTTTTTTTTTTTTTTTTTCAAACACCATCAGTTTTTTCTTCATATACAGGAAAGTCTTGCTTCAAATTTCTGCATATTCCCTTACATTAAATCGAGGCAAAGTGTTTCGAAAGAACCAGAACAATGACAATGACAATGAGAGCTAAACAAGCAACTGCCAAATAATATATTAGGTCGAGTCATTTTCGCTTTTTTATCAAATTTATTCTTCAAGAAATTACATTTTTTACTATTATATATTTGCCATTATTAGAAATGGCATGTATAGACTTATCAGGCAGCACTTCAGTACATCATTGCAAAATTCTGCAGGTTTTGACGTGAAAAGTTAAAAATAAGAAGTCTTGAATATTGTTTTGATTAGAGAAAGTTAATGACATCAAAGTATTTTGCGGCGATCGAAAAGAGTACTAATCGGTTGCTACGAGGTCAGGGGAATTTGACTAAAACAAACCAAACGAGTTTCAATTATTTTGTCTTATTCTTGTTGTATGCATCGTCATGGAGGAAAACAATATTTTCCATTCATTTGATGTTTATGCTACCAATATCTTATAAATTTGTCGTATGTTAGTCAACTTTAAATTTAGTCTTAACTGCCACATATGATTGGTAGTTAGGATAATAGTTTCTCCAAATCTTAAATTACATATGACGCTATTTTATACGTGTCTCTTTGTATATATGCAAATATATACATTTTTATGCTAAAGTAGATATTTTAAGTTTATTTTGTGTACACAAGTAACGTTGCAGCTAAGTTAATTGCTATTTATTTAATCATATATATTTAATCAACATATATCAATGTATAGCCGCTTATTAATTTTCACATGCCTCTCAAATTCAGTTTCTTAATTAGTGAAACTGATATTTGAAGCACGTTGCGCTTGTAAATGAGGATTGAATGTTATCTATGATCTCAGATCAACGAGTGCCGTGTCAATCAAGCGTAAAGAATGCGGTTTAAGCTCGTCTAATTTTAGTTTACCCACATACTTATTCTACGCAGTAGGAATTCTTTTTATTTTCACTGGCCAATTACGATGTGGCTGAAGGAAGCTTCTCCCTCCAACACTCGTTCAGCGAAGTTGCTTTCCCCCCATGCCGAATGGTATAAAGAGATAGCTCTACGCGATTCACTATTGGTCGATTTATGATCACGAATACCACATGACCAAAAGAGAAGCTGCATAATTTTCACATCAGAAACAGAATACAACGGAAGACACAAAGAAAACAAAAATCAAGGAAGGCAGTAAATAAAAAGCAATGAAATTAAAATATTAGAATCATTTTCAGAAATTTCGAAAATGAAAAGTCGTTGATAAATATTTAACCTCAGGTTCATGAAATATTCGTATTAAAATTTAGTGTATATATATATATATATATATATATATATATATATATATATATATGAAGAAAAACATATACGGAAAAAACAAACAAAATCCTTATATACAATTATGCTGTTTTAATGTTAATATGTCAACGTCGGACGTTTCGGTCTAATAAACCATCTTCAGGACATATTCATAAATTATAACATTATTAATAATGTTATAATTTATGAAAGAAGATGTACATAAGAACGAAAGACTTATCCAAACAAATATTAACATAAAATAAACATAAAAATAAGGAGTTTTTGTTTGTTTTTCCCCATATTATTTTTTTCTTCATACTGTCGGATCTATATCCATATATTTGCTTATATATATATATATATATATATATATATATATATATATATATATATATATACATGTGTGTGTGTGTTTCTGATCAAACATATATATATATATATATATATATATATATATATATATAAAATTAACGAAATCAAACGATTTACCTCATACAGATGATCATTTCGTCCATGGGAAAGTAGTTTTTCCCTGAACTTATCAATGCAAATAAAGTTACTAAAAACCCATTAGTATCCTTTTTAGTAAATATATTTGCATGGATACGATCAGAGGAAAACTAGTTCCCCATGGACGAAACGATCATCTGTATGAGGTAAATTGCTTGTACCTCATTAACTGTATTTCACTTATATGCTCTCTTTTGTGGAATAGTTTTAATATTTTATATTAATAATATCTACTTCGATTACTTACCCACCGATTTTTTTTACCTGTGATATATATATGTGTATGTGTGTGTGAGTGTGTGTGTGTATATATATATATATATATATATATATATATATATATATATATATATATATATCATCATCATCATCATCACTTGATTAGACATTAAAAGTGCCGAAAAAATTTGCAACTCTTTTAACATGAGTTTGATTAAGAAAAACCTTCAAGGTCATTCTGATTAATTTTTTATTATATTTTTTTCCAATTTTTGGATAAGGCGTTGAGTATTGGTTATTCTGAAATTTGAAAAATTTGATGAAATTTAAGCAAACATGTCTTGTCGATTCTTTTTTTATCAGTCTTGTTTGGATTAACACTTGCTGCATAAATATATCTGGCCCGGTGGGGGGGTGCTAGTGTTTTAAAACTAGTTGATATTGAATCAGGCATTTGTCAGATTTCTATTAATCAGTCTTGTCGTTATCTCGTCTTCGTTGTACAATAATTGGGATATCAGCAAATCCCTCTTTCCCTCTCACCCTCCATATATATCAAAATGTCTACTTCCCTTCTACAGGATTCTCTTTAATTATAATGCGTTGGCTTTAGACTTTACTTGATTCTCATGTGCTCTGATGTGACTCCTCAGACCTGCTGTTGACCCGCATACTTTGTCACTTCCTCTATGTCGTTGTAGTCAGATGTCAGTGGAGGCCTCTTGGGATTGCTTACCGTCATGAGATCTTAGATTATTACCAAGACAAGCTTTGGAAAGGAAAGCAATACCAAACTTTTCTGGGATTCATTGAGTAAAAACCACACACATGCTCACGCAACCAAAATACACACACACGAGCACTACCACACATATGTGTATGTGTGTGTCTGTTTTTGTGGAGAGAAAGAATATGAGATGAAGAGAAAGAAAATTATCCTGAAGAACGCATTGAAATATGAAACTGACAGTCAAGCTCCATTTCAGAGACAAAGTATTATTCCTCTATAAATATAGCAACATTTAAGTAATATATATGCGTGTATTTTTAGGTTATTGTTGTTAATGCTTTAAAATCACATACATGATCAATTCAATTTGTATTATATCCACTTTTAACAGATAAAGAACGAAGTGAGGGATATTATGAAGGATATAGGACAAAGAATAATAATTTATAGAAATCGTCAAGATATCTGTATAATTATTTACTCATCTCTACTGAGACATTGTATTTGAATGCCAATACAGTTAATGATCTTGGTGTGTACAATAATTTGAAGAATTGATAATTTGACATGGAAATGAATATATCAGGTCATCCCATAAGTTCTGTCAGAATTTTGAATAAAGAAAACAAGTGACCAAATGTTACATTTAATTACAGATTCAATCAACAATGTATTTTCCCTGTTTATCTATGTTTATCTCTGACTTCCTTCCATCTTTAAACAAGCTTACTAATTTCATTACTGTAACATTCTTTTGGTTTTGATTCGAAGAAGTCACAAATGTCAATTTTAACCTCTTCCTGTGTTACAAAAGCTGTTTCTTCCAAATGATTCTGTATGCTACGAAACAAATTGTAGTCTAAAGGAGCAAGATCGGGAGAATAAGGTGGATGAGGAATTTTCTCCCAACGAAGTTCTTCGATCTTTTGTGACGTGATACTTTCTTTGAGGAGTCGTGCATTGTCCTGATGAAACATAACCTCTTTTCGATTCACTAGATTAGGTAGTAAGAATTCAAAGTGGATTATTCCTTAGCGATCCCACCAGATTGAAAGGAGAACCTTTTGCCCATGAAGTTCCCTTCTCGGATCTGGCTGGGGTCCTTCCCCTTAACCAAGCCACTGTCTACGTCACTTAACATTTCGATAAAAGATCCATTTTTTGTCGTCAGTCAAAAGTCTATCCAAAAAAGGTGAAACAAGTTGGCGAGAATGGAGAGAAGAGCAGATGTCAACTCGGGATTTGAGGTTGTTTTCCGACAATTCATGAGGCACCCATTTTCCAAGTTTAGGAACTTTTCCAAGTTGTTGAAGATGACGATGAAAAGTTGTATGGTTTGAACTAAGAACCACTGCCAATTCCTCAACTGAAAAAGCAGGATTTTCTTCAAGGGCTACTTCAAGAAGCTTTTCATCAAACTCAACTGGACGTCCGGTTCGATCTTCATCTTCAAGGGTGAAATCTCCATATCTGATTTTGCAAAGCATCTTCTGTAAGTTCTTTCATTCGCACAATCCTCTCCATAACCTGAGTGAATGTTTCTAGCAGCTTTGACTGCTGAATTTCTTTTCTTGAACTCATAAAGCATTATGTGCCTCAAATGATTTTTGGGTACTTCCATATTAGCAGGGTTTTAATCAAACAAAATTTCATTTTATTGTTCGCTGAAATAAGATTTGATCAATTTAAATTCATTTAAACATAAAAATAATGTTCAGCTCCATTAGACAGAGAATACTCTTTAAATTTCGTTCATTTTAACAAAAAGTTCAAATTCGGACATAACTTATGTGATGACCTGATAAAAAAAAAATATTGTTCCTGTTAACATTAGCCGCTGTTGGGGTAGATGAAATTTATGAATGGGTGAACATGTTCATCACTGTTGGGTTAGATGGAATATATGAATGAGAGAAAATGGTCATCGCTGTTGGGGTACATGGAATTTATGAATGGGTGAAAATGGTCAACGCTGTTGGGATAGATGGAATTTATGAATGGGTGAAAATGGTCATCGCTGTTGGGGTGGATGGAATAGATGAATGGGTGAAAATGATCATCGCTGCTGGGGGAGATGGAATTTATGAATGGGTGAAAATGGTCATCGCTGTTGGAAAAGAGGGAATTTATGAATGGGTGAAAATGGTCATCGCTGTTGGGGTAGATGGAATTTATGAATGGGTGAAAATGGTCATCGCAGTTGGGGTAGATGGAAGTTATGAATGGGTGAAAATGGTCATCGCTCTTGGGGTGGATGGAATTTATGAATGGGTGAAAATGGTCATCGCTCTTGGGGTAGATGGAATTTATGAATGGGTGAAAATGGTCATCGCTGTTGGAATAGATGGAATTTATGAATGGGTGAAAATGGTCATCGCTGTTGGAATGGATGGAATTTACGAATGGGTGAAATTGTCATCGCTGTTAGGATAGATGGAATTTATGAATGGGTGAAAATGGTCATCGCTGTTGGGATAGATGGAATTTATGAATGGGTGAAAATGGTCATCGCTGTTGGAATAGATGGAATTTATGAATGGGTGAAAATGGTCATCGCTGTTGGGGTAGATGGAATTTATGAATAGGTGAAAATGGTCATCGCTGTTAGGGTAGATGGAATTTATGAATGGGTGAAAATGGTCATCGCTGTTGGAATAGATGGAATTTATGAATAGGTGAACATGTTCATCACTGTTGGGTTAGATGGAATATATGAATGAGTGAAAATGGTCATCGCTGTTGGGTTACATGGAATTTATGAATGAGAGAAAATGGTCAACGCTGTTGGGATAGATGGAATTTATGAATGGGTGAAAATGGTCATCGCTGTTGTGGTGGATGGAATTGATGAATGGGTGAAAAAGGTCATCGCTGATGGGGTAGATGGAATTTATGAATGGGTGAAAATGGCCATCGCTGTTGGAATAGATGGAATTTATGAATGGGTGAAAATGGTCATCGCTGTTGGGGTAGATGGAATTTATGAATGGGTGAAAATGGTCATCGCTCTTGGGGTGGATGGAATTTATGAATGGGTGAAAATGGTCATCGCTCTTGGGGTAGATGGAATTTATGAATGGGTGAAAATGGTCATCGCTGTTGGAAGAGATGGAATTTATGAATGGGTGAAAATGGTCATCGCTGTTGGAATGGATGGAATTTACGAATGGGTGAAATTGTCATCACTGTTAGGATAGATGGAATTTATGAATGGGTGAAAATGGCCATCGCTGTTGGGATAGATGGAATTTATGAATGGGTGAAAATGGTCATCGCTGTTGGGGCAGACGGAATTGATGAATGGGTGAAAATGGTCATCGTTGTTGGGGTAGATGGAATTTATGAATGGGTGAAAATGGTCATCGCTGTTGGGGTAGATGGAATTTATGAATGGGTGAAAATGGTCATCGCTGTTGGGGTAGATGGAATTTATGAATGGGTGAAAATGGTCATCGCTGTTGGAGTAAATGGAATTTATGAATGGGTGAAAATAATCATCGCTGTTGGGGGAAGATGGAATTCATGAATGGGGGAAAATGGTCTTCGCTGTTGGGGGTAGATGGAATTTATGAATGGGTGAAAATGGTCTTCGCTGTTGGGGTAGATGGAATTTATGAATGGGTGAAAATGGTCATCGCTGTTGGGGTAGATGGAATTTATGAATGGGTGAAAATGGTCATCGCTGTTGGGGCAGACGGAATTTATGAATGGGTGAAAAATGGTCATATGAATGGGCTGTTGAATAGATGGAATTTACGAATGGGTGAAAAATAGATGAATGGGTGAAAATGGTCATCGCTGTTGGGGTAGATGGAATTTATGAATGGGTGAGAATGGTCATCGCTGTTGGGGCAGACGGAATTTATGAATGGGTGAAAATGGTCATCGCTGTTGGGGTAGACCGAATTTATGAATGGGTGAAAATGGTCATCGCTGTTGGGGTAGATGGAATTGATGAATGGGTGAAAATGGTCATCAGACTGATGTTGAAAATGGGTAGATGGAATTTATGAATGGGTGAAAAATGGTTATCGCTGTTGGGGTAGATGGAATTTATGAATGGGTGAAAATTGTTATCGCTGTTGGGGTAAATGGAATTTATGAATGGGTGAAAATGGTCATCGCTGTTGGGACAGATGGAATTTATGAATGGGTGAAAATGGTCATCGCTGTTGGGGTAGATGGAATTGATGAATGGGTGAAAATGGTCATCGCTGTTGGGGTATGAACCGAAATGGTCAATTTATGAATGGGTGAAAAGGGTCATCGCTGTTGGGATAGACGAAATTGATGAATGGGTGAAAATGGTCATCGCTGTTGGGGTAGATGGAATTTATGAATGGGTGAAAATGGTCATCGCTGTTGGGGTAGATGGAATTTTGAATGGTGAAAATGGGTGAAAATGTGAAATGTCATCGCTGTTGGGGTAGATGGAATTTATGAATGGGTGAAAATGGTCATCGCTGTTGGGGTAAATGGAATTTATGAATGGGTGAAAATAATCATCGCTGTTGGGGAAAGATGGAATTTATGAATGGGTGAAAATTGTTATCGCTGTTGGGGTAAATGGAATTTATGAATGGGTGAAAATGGTCATCGCTGTTGGGACAGATGGAATTTATGAATGGGTGAAAATGGTCATCGCTGTTGGGGTAGACGGAATTGATGAATGGGTGAAAATGGTCATCGCTGTTGGGGTAGACCGAATTTATGAATGGGTGAAAAGGGTCATCGCTGTTGGGATAGACGGAATTGATGAATGGGTGAAAATGGTCATCGCTGTTGGGGTAGATGGAATTTATGAATGGGTGAAAATGGTCATCGCTGTTGGGGTAGATGGAATTTATGAATGGGTGAAAATGGTCATCGCAGTTGGGGTAGATGGAATTTATGAATGGGTGAAAATGGTCATCGCTGTTGGAGTAAATGGAATTTATGAATGGGTGAAAATAATCATCGCTGTTGGGGAAAGATGGAATTCATGAATGGGGGAAAATGGTCTTCGCTGTTGGGGAAGATGGAATTTATGAATGGGCGAAAATGGTCATCGCTGTTGGGGTAAATGGAATTTATGAATGGGTGAAAATAGTCATCGCTGTTGGGGGAAGATGGAATTTATGAATGGGCGAAAATGGTCATCGCTGTTGGGGTAAATGGAATTTATGAATGGGTGAAAATAGTCATCGCTGTTGGGGAAGATGGAATTTATGAATGGGCGAAAATGGTCATCGCTGTTGGGGTAAATGGAATTTATGAATGGGTGAAAATAGTCATCGCTGTTGGGGGTAAATGGAATTTATGAATGGGCGAAAATGGTCATCGCTGTGGGGGTAAATGGAATTTATGAATGGGTGAAAATAGTCATCGCTGTTGGGGAAGATGGAATTTATGAATGGGCGAAAATGGTCATCGCTGTTGGGGTAAATGGAATTTATGAATGGGTGAAAATAGTCATCGCTGTTGGGGTAAATGGAATTTATGAATGGGCGAAAATGGTCATCGCTGTTGGGGTAAATGGAATTTATGAATGGGTGAAAATAGTCATCGCTGTTGGGGAAGATGGAATTTATGAATGGGCGAAAATGGTCATCGCTGGGAATTAAATGGAATTTATGAATGGGTGAAAATAGTCATCGCTGTTGGGGTAAAATGGAATTTATGAATGGGCGAAAATGGTCATCGCTGTTGGGGTAAATGGAATATATGAATGGGTGAAAATAGTCATCGCTGTTGGGGAAGATGGAATTTATGAATGGGCGAAAATGGTCATCGCTGCTGGGGTAAATGGAATTTATGAATGGGTGAAAATAGTCATCGCTGTTGGGGAAGATGGAATTTATGAATGGGGAAAATGGTCTTCGCTGTTGGGGTAAATGGAATTTATGAATGGGTGAAAATAGTCATCGCTGTTGGGTAAAGATGGAATTTATGAATGGGCGAAAATGGTCATCGCTGTTGGGGTAAATGGAATTTATGAATGGGTGAAAATAGTCATCGCTGTTGGGGTAAATGGAATTTATGAATGGGCGAAAATGGTCATCGCTGTTGGGGTAAATGGAATTTATGAATGGGTGAAAATAGTCATCGCTGTTGGGGAAGATGGAATTTATGAATGGGCGAAAATGGTCATCGCTGTTGGGGTAAATGGAATTTATGAATGGGTGAAAATAGTCATCGCTGTTGGGGTAAATGGAATTTATGAATGGGCGAAAATGGTCATCGCTGTTGGGGTAAATGGAATTTATGAATGGGTGAAAATAGTCATCGCTGTTGGGGGAAGATGGAATTTATGAATGGGCGAAAATGGTCATCGCTTTTGGGGTAGACGGAATTGATGAATGGGTGAAAATGGTCATCGCTGTTGGGGTAGATGGAATTTATGAATGGGTGAAAATGGTCATCGCTGTTGGGGTAGATGGAATTTATGAATGGGTGAAAATGGTCATCGCTGTTGGGGCAGACGGAATTTATGAATGGGTGAAAATAGTCATCGCTGTTGGGGGAAGATGGAATTTATGAATGGGGGAAAATGGTCTTCGCTGTTGTGGTAGATGGAATTTATGAATGGGTGAAAATAGTCATCGCTGTTGGGGGAAGATGGAATTTATGAATGGGCGAAAATGGTCATCGCTGTTGGGGTAAATGGAATTTATGAATGGGTGAAAATAGTCATCGCTGTTGGGGTAAATGGAATTTATGAATGGGTGAAAATAGTCATCGCTGTTGGGGGAAGATGGAATTTATGAATGGGCGAAAATGGTCATCGCTGTTGGGGTAAATGGAATTTATGAATGGGTGAAAATAGTCATCGCTGTTGGGGGAAGATGGAATTTATGAATGGGCGAAAATGGTCATCGCTGTTGGGGTAAATGGAATTTATGAATGGGTGAAAATAGTCATCGCTGTTGGGGAAGATGGAATTTATGAATGGGCGAAAAATGGTCATCGCTGTTGGGGTAAATGGAATTTATGAATGGGTGAAAATAGTCATCGCTGTTGGGAAATTAAATGGAATTTATGAATGGGCGAAAATGGTCATCGCTGTTGGGGTAAATGGAATTTATGAATGGGTGAAAATAGTCATCGCTGTTGGGGAAGATGGAATTTATGAATGGGCGAAAATGGTCATCGCTGTTGGGGTAAATGGAATTTATGAATGGGTGAAAATAGTCATCGCTGTTGGGGGTAAATGGAATTTATGAATGGGCGAAAATGGTCATCGCTGTTTGGGGGGGTAAAATGGAATTTATGAATGGGTGAAAATAGTCATCGCTGTTGGGGAAGATGGAATTTATGAATGGGCGAAAATGGTCATCGCTGTTGGGGTAAATGGAATTTATGAATGGGTGAAAATAGTCATCGCTGTTGGGGGTAAATGGAATTTATGAATGGGCGAAAATGGTCATCGCTGTTGGGGTAAATGGAATTTATGAATGGGTGAAAATAGTCATCGCTGTTGGGGAAGATGGAATTTATGAATGGGCGAAAATGGTCATCGCTGTTGGGGTAAATGGAATTTATGAATGGGTGAAAATAGTCATCGCTGTTGGGGGTAAATGGAATTTATGAATGGGCGAAAATGGTCATCGCTGTTGGGGTAAATGGAATTTATGAATGGGTGAAAATAGTCATCGCTGTTGGGGGAAGATGGAATTTATGAATGGGCGAAAATGGTCATCGCTGTTGGGGTAAATGGAATTTATGAATGGGTGAAAATAGTCATCGCTGTTGGGGGTAAATGGAATTTATGAATGGGCGAAAATGGTCATCGCTGTTGGGGTAAATGGAATTTATGAATGGGTGAAAATAGTCATCGCTGTTGGGGGAAGATGGAATTTATGAATGGGCGAAAATGGTCATCGCTGTTGGGGTAAATGGAATTTATGAATGGGTGAAAATAGTCATCGCTGTTGGGGTAAATGGAATTTATGAATGGGCGAAAATGGTCATCGCTGTTGGGGTAAATGGAATTTATGAGTGGGTGAAAATAGTCATCGCTGTTGGGGGAAGATGGAATTTATGAATGGGCGAAAATGGTCATCGCTGTTGGGGTAAATGGAATTTATGAATGGGTGAAAATAGTCATCGCTTTTGGGGGAAGATGGAATTTATGAATGGGGGAAAATGGTCTTCGCTGTTGTGGTAGATGGAATTTATGAATGGGTGAAAATGGTCTTCGATGTTGGGGTAGATGGAATTTATGAATGGGTGAAAATTGTCATCGCTGTTGGGGCAGATGGAATTTATGTATGGGTGAATATAGACTTCGCTGTTGGGATAGGTGGAATTTATGAAAGGGTGAAAAATGGTCATCGCTGTTGGGGCAGATGGAATGTATGGATTGGCGAAAATGGTCATCGCTCTTGGGGTAGATGTAATTTATGAATGGGTGAAAATGGTCTTCGCTGTTGGAGTAAATGGAATTTATGAATGGGTGAAAATGGTCATCGCTCTTGGGGTAGATGGAATTTATGAATGGGTGAAAATGGTCATCGCTGTTGGGGTAGATGGAATTGATGAATGGGTGAAAATGGTCATCGCTGTTGGGGCAGAGGGAATTTATGAAAGGGTGAAAATGGTCTTCGCTTTTGGGGTAGATGGAATTGATGAATGGGTGAAAATGGTCATCGCTGTTGGGGTAGATGGAATTTATGAATGGGTGAAAATGGTCATCGCTGTTGGGGTAGATGGAATTTATGAATGAGTGAAAATGGTCATCGCTGTTGGGGCAGACGGAATTTATGAATGGGTGAAAATGGTCATCGCTGTTGGGGTAGACGGAATTGATGAATGGGTGAAAATGGTCATCGCTGTTGGGGTAGACCGAATTTATGAATGGGTGAAAATGGTCATCGCTGTTGGGGTAGATGGAATTGATGAATGGGTGAAAATGGTCATCGCTGTTGTGGTAGATGGAATTTATGAATGGGTGAAAATGGTCATCGCTGTTGGGGCAGATGGAATTTATGAATGGGCGAAAATGGTCATCGCTGTTGGGGTGGATGGAATTTATGAATGGGCGAAAATGGTCTTCGCTGTTGGGGTAGATGGAATTTATGAATGGGTGAAAATTGTCATCGCTGTTGGGGCAGATGGAATTTATGAATGGGTGAATATAGTCTTCGCTGTTGGGGCAGACGGAATTTATGAATGGGTGAAAATGGTCTTCGCTTTTGGGGTAGATGGAATTGATAAATGGGTGAAAATGGTCATCGCTGTTGGGGTAGATGGAATTTATGAATGGGTGAAAATGGTCATCGCTGTTGGGGTAGATGGAATTTATGAATGGGTGAAAATGGTCATCGTTGTTGGGGCAGACGGAATTTATGAATGGGTGAAAATGGTCATCGCTGTTGGGGTAGACGGAATTGATGAATGGGTGAAAATGGTCATCGCTGTTGGGGTAGACCGAATTTATGAATGGGTGAAAATGGTCATCGCTGTTGGGGTAGATGGAATTGATGAATGGGTGCAAATGGTCATCGCTTTTGGGGTAGATGGAATTTATGAATGGGTGAAAATGGTCTTCGCTGTTGGGATAGATGGAATTTAGGAATGGGTTAAAAATGGTCATCGCTGTTGGGGCAGATGGAATTTTTGAATGGGCGAAAATGGTCATCGCTGTTGGGGTAGATGCAATTCATGAATGGTTGAAAATGGTCTTCGCTGTTGGAGTAAATGGAATTTATGAATGGGTGAAATTAGTCATCGCTCTTGGAGGAAGATGGAATTTATGAATGGGTGAAAATGGTCTTCGCTGTTGGGGTAGATGGAAATTATGAATGGGTGAAAATAATCATCGCTGTTTGGGTAGATGGAATTTGTGAATGGGTGAAAATGTTCATCGCTGTTGGGGTGGATTGAATTTATGAATGGGTGAAAATGGTCATCGCTGTTGGGGGAAGATGGAATTTATGAATGGGTGAAAATGGTCTTCGCTGTTGGGGTAAATGGAATTTATGAATGGGTGAAAATGGTCTTCGCTGTTGGAATAAATGGAAATTATGAATGGGTGAAAATAGTCATCGCTGTTGGCGGAAGATGGAATTTATGAATGGTTGAAAATGGTCTTCGCTGTTGGGGTAGATGGAATTAATGAATGGGTGAAAATTGTCATCTCTGTTGGGGGAAGATGGAATTTATGTATGGGTGAAAATGGTCATCGCTGTTGGGGTAGATGGAATTTATGAATGGGTGAAAATGGTCATCGCTGTTGGGTTAGATGAAATTTATGAATTATTGAAAATGGTCATCGCTCTTGGGGTAGATGGAATTTATGAATGGGTGCGGGTCGACATCGTTGTTGGGGTAGATTCAGTTTAGGGGGAAAATGGCCGCGCAGTTTTATAACTTCGCTGTCACGGAGCCTCAATCAAAAAAAAATAAAATACATTATGTTACTCATAACTCTGCAGCAAACTCTTTGACGACGATTTGGATCATTACCGGTTTTATATTAAACTTAGAATTATGCGGAACGAAGAAATTATGATGCGCTCCACCCAAACTGGACTTAGTATTCTAAGGAATAATCTGAGAGATTATCTCTCACTCCACCAGTAAACAAATACTATAGGATAAGTGAAGTGACGCCATTGAAATGCTGTAGAATCAAAAATACATTGTGGCATGTCATTAGCCAGCTGAAATTGTGACCGACGAATGCGCATATAGATACTAATAAATAGATAGAACTGTGGGGTCTGCCTAGTGTCTATGATAGCGGCCAAGACTGAGATAGATGCGTCATAAATGGGCGTATTGAGGTCAAACCTACTGTTTGAATAGCCATTTCCATCATATAGAGGATGTTCTCGATTCTAATTGGTGTAACCGATCACTTTATTTGCCAGCCATTTATCATTGCACATTACAAAGCTTATTAAATACTGGTAATGAATATATAAGCCTGGTACACACACACACACGCACGCGCGCACACACACACACACACACATATATATATATATATATATAGTTAAACCTAGAGAGCCAGAGAAACCAACAATGGTTTTCACCTAAGCTGGCTTTCCTGCCGATCCGCTTAGGTGAAACCTTAGCAGGTTTCCCTGACTCTCTAGGTTTAACTAGGTCTGCTCTACTTACTGTATCGAGCAATTTATTTAGTTATTTTGCTTACTCGTATCGGTTTTTTTTTTCTTCGGGCCTTGGACTTGCATGCTAGATGATTATTTTCGACCGACGTACATGTTCTTGGTTCTTTCTTTTTTTTATACCTTTTTTTCCCTTTGGTATTGGCTTGATTATTTGCAAATGAAAACATTGAAGGTTTTCCGAACGAGAATAATTTCTTATAATTTCTTAGATTATTACTAATAATACACACATACACACACATTTTTTAAGCATTACGCCCCGAGCAAGGCGTGAAGTCACTAGGATGCAGGGGGTTGCAGAAGATTTGGAGCGAGAGCGGATAGGAGTGATAGAAGATAGGATGAGGAGAAGGATAGTGGGTAGATCAAGGTAACTGGAGGTGTCGATTGACATTACATTTGAATATTTGGAGATTATAGCTCTCAGGGAAACACTAATTGGGAAGGGTGTTCCACAGGTGAGAGGTGTGAGGTATGAAGCTATTGGAGTAGAAGAGATGGCTACATTTAAAAGTTTCTACAGTGTAAGGGTGAGAGCGGGATGCCAGCCTCGTAGGGCGCTTTAATTCATGGAGTCTGGGAACCAGTGAAAGCAGCTCATCGGAGAAATTACCATGAAAGTATTTGTAGAACAGACAGAGAGAGGCAACGGCGCGTCTGTGAGAGAGTGACTACAGACGAGACGCCAGATCAGGGCCAATAACATTACATATCCGTATCTAAGACTGGAACAATGAATGAGGACTTCCAGCAGTCAGGAAAACAGGATTCCTTGAGGCAGTAATTATACAGTTTAAAGAGAGCGGGCGCTAGCTCAGGCGCGCATTTCTTCAAGACAATGGCTGGTATGCCATCTCCACCACTGGCCTTGTGGTGGTCTAAATTGGAGATCATGCCCAGTACCAATGACGGGGTTATGTGTAAGCCGCTCAATAGGGCCTCAGTTTTTAGAGGAAAGTCTGGTAAGGGTACACCGGTGGAGTCGAGCGTTGAATTAAATGAAAATTTCCGAGCAAAGCATTCAGCCTTGTCGGTAGAGGAGGTCAAGACCTCGAAGTGGTTGAATAAAGGAGGTATGGAGGGTTTTCTATTGTTCAGGACACTCTTGCAGAGCCGCCAATTATCTTTGGAGACAAATTTGCGAGATGCAATACGCTCCTTCATCCGAGCAGAAAATATTGACTTAGCTTCGTTGAGGACACGGGCGGATGAAAAGAGACGTCTATTGCAGTCCGACATGTCGCTACGGAATCGGTGAAAGAAGTGATTCCTATGGGCTATGGCGGCTGAGTAAGCAGCGGAGAACCAAGGGGAGGAGTGCAACTTCACCTTAAATTTCCTTGAGGGGATGAAAGCGTCGATTCCAGCTTTAACCCAGGGGGCATCGCGGAGGAAGTCACGGAACGAGTCCCAATCCGCTCGTTGATAGTAGAACGAGGTTCTAGTGATGGGGGGTTCTTGCGGGGTGTGGAGTTGAAGGAAATGTTGATAGATACCACGACATGATCGGAGTTACCAAGAGGGCAGAGCTATGTGGCGCTACAAGATTTGGGGATGGAGGTAAAACACAGATCGAGAAGGGAGGCCTTACCTGCCAGGTTGAGGTGAAAACGCGTGGGGAAGTCAACTATCTGCGTGAGGGATTGAGAAATTGAGAAGTTAAGTGTTTGAATGCCAGCCCTGTCAGTAGTAGCATTCTCGAGCCACTTGGTATGATGGGCGTTAAAGTCACCAAACACGAATATGTGAGCAAACGGGTGGAGAGACAGGGCCTTGTCTATGCTGTCAGATATGCTATCAAGTATCGGACAGTCTTGAGAGGATGGAGAGCGATAGAGGAAGAAGAGATAGCTTACGGCATTGAGGAGAGATAGTCGGAGACACATGTACGAATGTTCTGGCGATTCGAGAGACAACTTTCTGGCCAGGGGGAGGTGGTCCTTGACATAGACACCAAGGCCGTGCATGTGAGTTAGAGAGTCTTTCCTGACGAGAGGAAGGTAGCCGGGGATCGAGAGATCAGAGGAGGGAATAGACGAGACAAGGTTTGTCTCACACAGAGCCAGTATATCCGGGCAGTTTGCAGTGAGGAAAGATTCCATACTGCTGAAATTTGTTCTAATGCCACGGATGTTGGAGAACAAAATGTTGAGGGGTTTAGGTGATTTTTGAGGGGCTGGTTGAGGTTTACTTTTTTGGTTCATTTGAGTCTTCATGTGGAGCAATTGTTGGAAGATGAGAAGGCCTGAAGTAAGAGAAGCAGATGGTTATCGACCGCAACATGAGCAGAGAGGAGTTGGCACAGCCTGCATCATAATGTGGCCTCAGGGTTGCTCACCGGAGGTGACTGCAGGGACACCGTTCCATGCGCGTCATGGCACTACAAACACCCCGGTATTATACAACTGTTGATCAGAGCGGCCGCTCAAGACGCTACGCAAGAGTTAGGGCTCCTAACTACCAGTCGTAAACAGCAAACAGTGAACTGTCAACCACGTACCCTCAAAATGAAGAGGCAATGCTACAGACTGCATACGTCACATCAGCACTAGTACAGAGGCCAGAGAGAGAGAGAGAGAGTACCGGGAACCCCTTCTTAGACAGGAAACAAGGTGTGAGCCTCTGCTCATGTCCAGGAAACGGGGAGGAGTGTTGACCGGGCGGTAGGAGGGTCTACCTACTCCTATTACATATAATACGTATAACAACGACAATAGACAAACAGAGGGATAAGGGCGGGGAAGTAGTTGACTGTGCCCAGGCTGAGACTAGGTGTGTGTTCAAAGGGATAGGATGGACTTATTAGTATTTTATCCTTACAAAACACTAAGTATAAGTCCCATTGTTCTATTCTAAAGAGAGAAATGAAAAAATATGATTATCCACCTTTTTGCAGATATGACATAAATGCTAGCTCACTTGTGGCAGTGGGTGATATTGGTAGTCCGCAAGCATTCTGATGGTCTCTAGTGGGTGTTCCACGTTAGTACATTTTATCAAGCAAAAGACAAGGCCACTGGACCATAAGAATACTGAAGACGTACTAACGCCTGGTGAAGAGACATTTTTCCCTTTTTTCGAGGTGAGGGGAGGATTTCCAACTACACAAACATAGTGTTATAAGTGAGGTTCGAATGGTTAGAGCAAGTATCAATGTTAAATTAGTCGCACAGAGTGGGTGGGGGAGAGAGACCAAGCAAGAATATATAAATAAAATAAATACATAAACGTTGGAATATATATATATATATATATATATATATATATATATATATATATAGAGAGAGAGAGAGAGAGAGAGAGAGAGATGCTTTTTTATGCGTCTCTGGTAGAATGAATTTATACTCACACATGGTAAAAAGTTAATGTCCGCTTCCATTCTGGTGGACGCCAGTGATTGTACAGCCAGCCATATCTCAGTGCCCAAGCGTCAAGTTACAGATAACGCAGTGTTTGGGGGGGGGGGTCAGCGACCATTCCTACCCGTCACCAGCAGTGGGCTTGGGAAAATTTGCTTTAATAAAATATTTAAATCACGAGGAGAAAAGAACGGCTTTAAAAATTCCACGTAAGATCAAACTATTTTTTATCTAGCAAAAGACAAGGCCACTGGACCATAAGAATACTGAAGACATACTAACGCCTGATGAAGAGACATTTTTCCCTTTTTTCGAGGTGTGGGGAGGATTTCCAACTCCACAAACAGTGTTATAAGTTAGGTTCGAATGGTTATATATACAATACCCATCTCATTCCATCCACAATGCAAGAAGAAAATCATACAACCGAAACAAAAATAATAACAGAATCCGTAATAATAATTTGCATGAAAGCAAATGCATAATACTAACGACCACTATCCAGAAAAACCTTATCCCGTCTAAATATTCTTAAAATAATCACAAACACTTCCCAAACTATTATGCATATAAACAGATCCTCAAACATTAATAGCAATAAAATTTCTGAAGAAGGCACTTATAAAATAAATTGTTCCTCCAAATATACTGGGGAAACAAACATAAATTTAAAAAATAAACAAATAAACGCATCTATGAGCACAAAAGCAACCTCACAAACAACAACGTAACTAATGCACTACTCATACATAGAAATAAATTCAACCTCAATTTTGATTTGAAAAATTCTGTACTCATAAAAAAGCAAAATAACTCACTCAGAAGGAAAATCCTCGAGAGTGCTGCCATTGAATATTATCCAAATATTAATCTATACACAGGATTTTTTCGTAATATCACTTTTCCTAACAGAATTCCTACTCTCCCAAGCCAACATACAAAACTGTATCAAGAAATCAAAAGAAAATGTTTGAATCAGTCAACACAACAATAAAAATAATATTTCTGCACGTGATAGTACTTGACGTAATTTTAACTTGACAAGATGGATGCAGTAGCGTTTTCTAAATTCTTCCACCTGCTAAGAACATTATTTTGTTATTAATAGCTACTTTGCTTCAATAAATTCATTTCGTTTTTACCTTGAAAAAGTCCACATTGGACAAAACCCGTCGGCTAATAATACAGTTTTCCTATTGTCTTTTACCTTAATACCTATTGTTTTTTTTTCTACAGGTTAACTCTGAGAGGTTTTTTATATATATATATATATATATATATATATATATATATATATATATTGCGTATATTTTGGCTGCATGACTTCATTGAGTGATGTTTTATTCAATATCTGTTTTAAAAAATTGTAACTAACCCATAATAAAATTAATTTGGAATATTACATAAATGTTTTCAAATAATCACAGTATATAGTTTAAAATATCGAGGTTTATACCTAAACTTCTTAATACTCATTTTATCGATTAAAAAAAACTCGACAATCTCATAACTTAATTGCCTTACCTGAAACGTTACTCAAGCTAATCGCGCAACGCTAAATTCAGCGTTCTTCACTTCAATAGTAAAAAAAAAATTAACTTTCAGATGAATACAGCAATTTGGTTTTTGAAAATGATGAACGCTACAATATTTGTCTTGAAAAGAAAAACAACACCATGATGATGACATTGTGCTAATGTCGAAAGTACTCGGAATAATTAATATATATCAAAACGGTAATTTTCTTCCTTCTTTTAATAATGGCAACAAAAAGAATATGAAAGAATACAATTGAAAATACATAGACTAGCTTGTCTCTATCTCTCTCTCTTTCTCTCTCTCTATATCTTTCTATCTGTCTGTCTGTCGCTCTCTCTTTATATATATATATATATATATATATATATATATATATATATATAGAGAGAGAGAGAGAGAGAGAGAGACCGAGAGAGAGAGAGATAGATAGATAGATAGATAGATAGATAGATAGCCAACCTTTTGTAATACTTTTTTGTATTACTTTTTGTAATAAGTGATAATTCCTGGAATAAATCTAGATTATTGACGAATCCGATAATGCTTTTCCTCATTCAAAAAGTCGACGTATACATTTATGAGAAAACATAAAACTCACAACACACAACGTGCAAACAAATATTCAAATATATAAGACATTTAAGGGGCACCCCCAGGAGGTATAATGGTTATCAAGCCTGCCTCACTAGAACAATTATAACTGAGTAGTGATTTCGATTCTCACTGACTGCCCCATACTTTCGGCCTTGTGCCACATCTACGCTACGTTTGAAAAAATTTATATAAGGAATTTAAGTCATATAAAGCTGTTCGACAGTTAAGATATATCGAGCATATCTGTGAACACTTAAGCCTATAAAATCGTTGGCTGGTAGCAAATCAATTATTCAAAACTGAAATGGTTAGAATGAAATCTTTACAAAGATATCAGAAACTCCTGTTTCTCCATATTTTGCAGCCTTTTTTTTTTATAAAAGACCGAAAAGACTAAAAAGCTTACCAAATCAAAGCTTTTAAGAGAACTAAATTTAAACTGAATTCTTTAGTCCAACCAATTCACACACACACATCTGCAGCTAAGAGCCGCGCCTTGCTGCGTCCAATGGATTTAGTTATACCCATTCCCTCAGTATTTAATTGGCATGTGGAAACTTCTACTCAGGCATCTGTTTTACAATCTTATATTTTGTGGAACAGACACCCGTGTGGATGCTTCACCGAACGCTGAATTCTTTCCCTCTTCATCGTTATCTATTCACTAAATCTTCATAATCTTCACTTTCTACTTACATTCATGTAACACATTTTTGAGAGACTCTTGATCCTTGTATTGGATGAATATTAATAAAAAAAAAACCTACCAAGTTTACAAGATGTACCAAAACAATCTCAAAACTTATAACCACAACATGATGGAATTGATTAACAAAAGACACTCGACGCCCAATGAATCAGAACATACCGGAAGTCAGCCATTTAAAAGAAGAAATACATAAAGATAAAAAGAAAGAAATAATAAAAACTGACTTCAGAAATATTACACGTTAGATTCTTTGGATTTTTTTTTTAATATAGCAATGGCTCACCCTATCTAGTTCAGGAGATTCGTACTGGTTGTTATAAACAGGAAAATAAAACGTGCTATATCATGGATTTTAGTCTAATAAAAAACAAAATAGCTTCGTGTCGAATTTTTTTTTAATTTTGTTTTATTTTGCGGCACTGTACGTATCTGTACGTGCCTCATTTAAAAACGTTATTTTATATTTTAAGAACATTAAATGTAATTTTTAAAGAGAAAATTCTTTTAATTTTAGATAACTGTTTATTTTTAATATTTAAACAACAGTTAAATTCATTTCCTTTTTTTATTTTTGGTTGTTACGTAATTCGATAATCACTGGGTAGAGTTTATGCAATAAATATCTGGCAATGTTTATCCGTTGCATATTAAATATACACTGAAGAATCAAAATAGTTGGACCATATGCTGAGAGACAAGATGTAGTATCCTTCCGAGGGATGACATTGCAATCGTAGAGGAATGTTTTCATGCATGATTATATTCATTCAGCAATGGTCTTGGGGTGGATTACAGGCAATAAAATGCTGTCCCCGTGAATGGTGAAACCAGAGTTTCACTGTATGGCATTCTCAAATCTAACAGACGAGAGTCAGCAGTTTGTTGTTTTCTATAGTTCCATGTAGCATGACATCTACAGGAAAATATTGTGATTCTGCGTTACTCAAGATAAAGCAAGACACACAAAGACAGTTACATTTCTTCTCTTCTGTCACCCGCATGTCCACAGAAGATATTTTAGCAATGAATAATAGCATGCATACGATAACTGGTCATATGATCGTGAGAGCGGAGGTTTTGAGAAGCGTGGAATGACCTTTGTTCCCAGGCCCATCTTGACCCGGGTGGGAGCACCTGTTAGGCTCGGAGCTATGGGAAAATAGTAATACCCCAAGCAAAACTCAAAACGCTAGGAAAGCATAAAACTACTTTTTTATAGTAAAAATACCAGCAATACATTTTTTTTTAAATTACCAACAGTATATGTTTGTCTATATTTCTGAGATGAGGTATTATGCACACTATTTGCATTATTCGGACTATTGTCCTCATCTTTGTCGCCATATTTATTACAACGTTTCAAGGACACATGGCACAGTGGATAAAGGCGTTGGTTAGATCCAGTGACAGGACCCAAAGAGCGTGAGTTCAATACCCGGTTAAGGCAGTGGAGAACTTTCAGAGGGAAATTAACATAAGATAACTGATAACTGACATCCATTAAACATGGCACGTGGAACTAGAACAGTCTACCCCAGTGAGCGAAAGAAAGGGTTCAGTTCGACATTCCAACCACCTGAAGAAGGCCGGAACGTACAACGGCCGAAACGTTGTAATAAATATGGTGGCAAAGATGAGGACAATAGCCCGAATAATATAAATAGTGGCTATATTTTTGTAGTGAAATTGATTAACAATACGTTTTAGAAGAAAATTTTAAAGCATGGATTTGATAGCAAAATGACCAATAATGCAACACTAAAAAAGAATAAAAATCCATATTTATAGCATAATAACCAACAATATTTTTTGTTATCTGCATTATGATATGTGTAAAATAAACATGCGTTTACGGTGAAATTATAAAATTATGTACAAAATATCAGTAGTTAAAGGTTTAAAATCGCGTTCAAAACATATTGTATACAAACTATTTACATTTCAGCATTAAGTAAGCCATAGAGCTGTTGATATGCCAATAAACAAAATACACGAATCAAACTAACTGTTGAGAAGCTATGAAGTTCCCAAAGTAAAAAGGACTGAAGCTCAAGATTAACGCGCCCTCGTTTTCATATATCAAGGAGCTTCGATTACCTTTCGTATATCTCTTGGCTGCTGTATAGCTTCTTGATTGTTGGCGATTCTTCCTCTTCGGATCATTACTGATTCGTATACACCAACACTCGAACGTGAGCAGCCCACATGCTATGTAATTTCGCAAATTCTGTAACCTAGTTTGTTGGCTAAATCAGCTTAACCTTTAACATAGTCACTGAAATCGTTGCATTATCCCATAAATATGTCATTCAAAACATTAAAATGAAGTCACTGAGACCAGTTTACTTGCATATATTTCTGATAGGTACAGTTGTTACGAGACAGTAGTTGTTGTTCTTTCAGCAAGTTGGAAATCATAAAACTTTTACATATGCAAAAAAAATACTGGCAATATAGGAAAAAGAAAATAATTGATTGCGGTTGTATGTTACCACCAACTTTATTTAAACCTTTATGTTCTTTTGGACTTCCTGCTCTTTTATGTTTTTTTTTCTATACTTAGCCTTCGATTTCTTCCTCATTTTCTGTAGAAACATTATGAAATATTTCTGGATTTTTACATTTTCAACCTTCTACGTGATTTAATATGTATGTAGTGAATTAAAAACCGAACCTATTGTAATGCAATATTAACTGACAGAATTGGACAGTTCTGTTTAATTATAGCGTTGTTCTTTTATGAATAGTTTCCATACATAAATTGGATCTCAAATTTCCAATATATTTGCAAGGTCTTGAGATGATTCCAATATTTCATTAAATATGGATTCACTTTTTACATTGATAATTTTGTTTTGCTGTATTTCCGCAAAGTTAAGAATATACATAGTTTTTCGTTTTCTTTTGCTGCGACGTCCATATCCAATATCAACATTTTTTTTTATCTTTCTTTAAAACAACTAAGTCTGATCCTCAGGTCTAAATCAGATGATCCATTTAAATTTTAAGTATTCTTATTTTTTTCTCTTCTCAAACAAAACATGATTTTGTGTTTATACAACTAATTTTCATTACCAATTAGTTTCAACGACTGATGACATACAGTTGCTTCTGAGTCATATGTAGTTTGGAATGTTGCAGGGACCAATTTATTACTTTCATTGAAAGTGCAAGCTATGACCGACATACATTGGTAGCAGGCATAATTGCTCATTACCAACCGGTACCAAAAGATAGGTGTCCAAACTATTATTTAAGTTAGAATTTCTAATGATGATTTTCCTAGTAGGCAGGCTTTCTCCAGTTGATTCGGTGATCAGTTCAGTCTAGTCTCTTGTCAAAGAGGAGGTAGATCAGGGTTTCAATACTTTGCGCGGAGAAAATCTGCCCGATCTCTGTCAAGGTTGACAATGGGTGTAATAGAATAAATAAGCGTTATAGGAGTTTTTAGAAAGCGGTTTGTTCCAGAGCTTAGTCACCCAAACACTTCTTTAACAAGCACTGTGTAATACTAAAATATATTTCAATAAAATAAAGAGCAAGGAAGAATAGATTAATACCTTTTTCAAGAGAACATAACAACCTCAGCCGAAATTCGAAACCAGGTTTTTCATTCCATTTACTATGCCGATAATGTTTACGATTCCAGGCAGCATCAAAGACAGAAACCGTTTATTTTTTCCAGAAAATTGGAAATCCTGGGTCTTGCTCGGACTCAACATCAACCGTTTGCTTAAGCTATAAGTCCAAGCGATTGATTGATACAGGCGATAATTATTTTTTCCGGGCAAGACTTGACAGGTTGACTGACCTCTAATTTCGTTTTCAACTTACGCTGGACACAGAACGATGACTGGTCATTCTCCAGAATAGCAATCATTCATTCATACTACAATAATAAAACGATTAGAGCCTCAGATATAAACTGCTATAATTGCAAGAGAGATTTGACATTTTTCACATCGATCTAGTCACCGATGAAAGAGAATAGCCATGGACATCTTTTCGAATCTGGGCATAGTCTGGCAGAATGAGAGAATATAAATGTCCAAAATATTGCGCTACGCCAGCCGTGCGAATGGAGGTTGCCTGGTTGGTTTCAAAAGCAGCAATAGAAATGGTTGCACTTCTTCGATACTTGTGAACTGAAACTAAAACAGAAACCAAATCACTTGAGAACTTCAGTATCAGCAACGACTAAAATGGATAGCATATGCAAGACAAAGAGAAAATAATGAGATGGTCAAGATG